TGCCAATGGTACTGAACGGAGGGAATATCAAATTGAAATTTGTCCGGATTTTGGCGACGCACCCTGTATAACATACATGTTTAGTCTTGTAGTCAGCGCTCAGTGTAAAAGTTGCAGTTGCCGTTATGACTTTTACATCTTAATTTTGTAATTTTGACCTTGAATGTGAGCAACTGTGATTTAGGACATTTACTTATTGTTAACGAACATGTATGTATGATTATAATTTTTGACGCATTTGTAATTTTGTAAAAATTGTTTGATTATAAGAATTTTCGGTTTGTTATTTAGCAATTACATTGATAAAGACCGAAATCCGCGGTCGAAACGTATGTTTTAATTTCTACAATAAAGAATCTCAACACACAAACAACAGTGTATGTGCTCCTATTGGCCTTTCATAATTTATCATATTTCGATATGATGTTCCATGAATTTCTGTATATGACGCATAATTATTCTCAATTAATATCAATCAATGACTACTTTTTTTATGTTCTTCTTGTTCGTGTTGTAAGCATGTAGGCAGAGGGGACTGCGCCTCCCACAAAAGGGGCTGCGCCTCTCCACTTGCATCCCTCTTGAGCTACAATGCTTCATTACTAAAACTTTTTCTTGATAACTTTTTAAACTTTTTAAACCCTCTTGGTATTTGGCTTCTCAAAACAATCACGTTCACAAAACATGATAAGCTCAGGGAGAGTGCAGGTGGAAGAACGTAACCCCTCCCTTGCAAGGGGCGCAGCCCCTCCTGCCTACACGCTTACAACACGAACGAAACGTACGTGGAACCGAAAACTAAGAATTCATTCTTGAAACTTCTTTCCCTTGTAACTTTTTAACGAACAACGATCCCCGCCTAAAACCTTCACATTATTACTCGGGACAATGACCTTGACAACATATGTACAAATTATTCAAATCGAAGGTGGCTCCCCTAATCTACATAATTACCGAAATTACACCTTTAAGTTGTTTTCGACGGTCATTTTTCTGATCATATTTTTCAAGAATCTTTTTTTAATAAAAAATGAGCACTGCTTAAAACCTCTTAAACATTACTCAAGAGAGTGTCCTTTACAACATATATCAAAATCAAGGTCATCGGATCTTTTTTAATCCCCTATACTCAATAATTACCTTAGATATTACAGGAATCACTGAGAATATTACTAGCAATTACACAGAATGCCAGTAATTCTTTTGTACTACTGCCGCAATATATTACTGCCAATAGTTCTTTTTTGTAAGAGTTAAGATAAACTTAAGACTGTAAGTTCTTAAAAAATAAGATTGGACTGTAAATATCAACCTACAACTATGTTAGATTTAAATCTGTGTATTTATAAATAATATCATCCCTATTTGGATGTTGGTCAAGATTAGGCGGACCTGTTATTGGTATATTTTTAATAATCTTATTAATCCATTCGATGTACATTGAAACCTGCAAAAATAAAAATATAAGTAATGAAAAAATAGAAATATAAGTAATAAAAATGAAAATATAAGTAGTAAAAGCGTCTTAAAAAGTTAATATTTGTCAAAAAGAATAATATAAACAAAAGGTTAATATTTACCTTTGTAAAAATAGTATAATAATGAGGATTGCATATGCTAGTACTCAATCTTCGTGGGCTTACGGAGACAATTCCGTGAACTTCCCAGATGCTAGAATTTGGTCGCTGAAGTACTAGCCCTCCACCACTATCCCCATTACACACTCCAGTACCATTTGCCCACCCGGCGCAAAAAGACGTATAAGTTAAATATTTATAAAAATCTCGTTTTTGATTTTGACGGCATTCGTCGTCGGAAATAATTTTTGCTGTAGTCACTCTTAAAACTGAACTGAATGTGTCGTTTTCTGTCAGTCCCATTCCTGAAAATCATTTCCAAGATTGTAGAAACTGTTAAAACATAGCAAACTCTTCAAAATATATTGGGACCTTGAATAAGTTCTCGCTGTTTCCCAACAGATAGCATTACCAGAACTGCGTGCGTGTAGTTTAAGATGGTAACGCATCTATAAGAAAGTACCATAGGCAAGCTTGAAATTCAGTGTGTCATTTTGCCGAAGTGTAAACAACTTTTTTTTTTCATAGTGTTAAACATGTCGAGTTTCGAGCCAAAAAAAAGAATATTTACGGGAAATTTTATTGCACTACTTTATTCAAAAAAATTATGCAGCTGAAGCACACAGAATTCTTGTTGAGATTTACAGCGACCATGCTCTGTCGGAAACAACATGCAGAGATTAGTTTAGACGCTTCAAAAATAATGATTTTGATATTGAAGATAAAGAACGCTCTGGCGCACCGAAAAAGTTTAAAGACAAAGAATTGGAGGCATTACTTCATAAAGACTCATGTTAGATGCTAGCTGAACTTGCAGAATCATTAGGAGTAGATGACACAACAGTTTTGAAACATTTGAAAGTATTAGGAATGATTCAAAAGCAAGAACATTGGGTGCTGTACGAGACGTCGAACGGCGTCTTTTCACGTGTGAACAGCTACTTCAACGGCAGAAAAAGAAAGATTTTTTGCATTGTATCGTGACTAGCGATGAAAAGTAGATACACTATAATAACCCTAAGCGTAGAAGATCGTGGGGTAAGCCCGGTCATGCATCAACATCGTCGGCAAAGCCGAATATCCATAGTTCGAAGCTTCTGCTCTGCATTTGGTGGGATCAGCTAGGTGTAGTTTATTATGAGCTGCTCAAACCAAACGAAACCATCATCGGATATCGCTATCGACTACAATTGATGCGTTGGAGCCGAGCATTGAAGGAAAAACGGCCGCTATACGAGCAGAGACACGACAAAGTGATTTTGCAACATGACAACGCTCGGCCACATGTTGCACAACCGATGAAAACTTACTTGAAAACGCTTAAATGGGAAGTCCTACCCCACCCGCCGTATTCAGACAGTGCCTCTTCCGATTATCACTTGTTCCGATCGATGGCACATGGCCTGGCTGAGAAGCACTACTATTCTTACGAAGATGCCACAAAATAGGTCGATTCTTGGATAGCCTCAAAAGACGTGTCGTATTTCTGATGTGGAACTTAAATGCTGCCAGAAAGATGAGAAAAAGTAATGGCTAGCGATGGGCAATACTTTCAGTGACATGGTTTTCACGACTTTTTTAAAATAAAATATTAATTTTCACGAAAAATTAGCGAGAATTTATTCAAAGTCCCAATACAAAATCAAATATACAAAAGTAAATTTGGTTCTTCTAATGTAAGAATATTATTAATAAGTTAGACACTAAATTAATTATTTACTGTGTTTATCTCAGACTTTGTAAGCAAAAGTACAATAAGTATACGTACCAGCGACTACTCCATATCCTCCGTTTTCCTGAAATGTCGCCAATACCGTGTCGGGATATTGTGGAATACACACTGGTGCAACAATTGAATTAATAGTTACAGCTCTTTTTAAAATCAGTAATGCAATATCTGAACCATAATTATTTTCGTGATCCTGAAATGCACTCTGCAATTTGATACTTTTTACATCGATTATTTGCGCATTTTCCCCTGCTTCTTTCAAATTACTCGAAAGAATTCCAAAAGCGACGCGCACCGTGTCTGCCAAAGTTTTCCAGACACAATGGCCGGCAGTTAGTACGACACGTTCTGCTATTAATGTACCACCACAGAAGAATTTCCATTCACCATCCTCGTGCGAGAAGAGAGTTGCTTGCCACGGAAATGTCCCTTTTTCTTCGACGCGCCACCCGTTTACAATTAGTGCTGCAGCTAGCAATGTATAAATAAAATAGCTGAATTATACATCTCAGTATTATTAATAAAGATATTTCTTAAGAGAGTACTAAAGCGAGATTCAAAGTCAGCAGTGGGGTCTCTGCCCGGAAAGTAGCGCCCTCAACTGATCTTGGAGAGAAGAAGACAGACGTACTATATCTGTCCTTGTCTCTCATTGAGTTAGTCCGTCCTTGTTCTCAAGTGAGGAGTGGCATTCACTTGGACACCGTTCAATCGGACACGTTGCAATTAGACACGGTGCAAATAGACACAGAATTATAGACACGGTTTAATTAGACACGTTGCATTTGGACACGGAAGAAAATGCGCACCGTTCGATTAGACACCGTAATAATGCGCACCGTTCACTTAGACACCGTAATAATGCGCACTGTTCACTTAGACACTGTAATAATGCGCATCATTCACTTAGACACCGTAATAATGCGCACCGTTCAATTAGACACCGTAAAAATGGGCACCGTTCCCTTAGACACCGTAATAATGCGCACCGTTCACTTAGACACCGTAATAATGCGCACCGTTCAATTGGACACCGTTTATTTGCCACCGTTCATTTGCGCACCGTTTATTTGCACACTGTGCAGAAGGACACCACTTATCTAGTAACTGTACACTGTACTGCGCAAACGCATCCGAAGGATGCGCAGTACGGAAAACCAGTCTTTTACACGTAGTAACCAGTCTTTAAGCCTTGTGCACAATGCGAGGGAATAGTGATAGCGATAAGCAATAGACACAGAATTCCAACTTGTCAGAAATTTTATCGCTATTGCTTATTCTGTTTTCTGATCTGCATTGATACATGTGTATTTTTGTATGTTAGAGAGATTCTGCTGTTCCTGCCGTTATTTATAAATATAAATTCTTTAAAACTGGTGTTATTTCTATAGCTATCGCTATTCCTTCCATTGTGCAAGGAGCTTTAGTAAAGACCAGTGCTAGAAAACTAGTCTTTACAGTGTAGTAAGCATAGGCAGGAGGGCTGCGCCCTCCCCACAGGAGGAGGGGCTTTGCCCCTTCTCCTCGCCTCCCTTCCCTCGTTGGTCCTTTGCTACGTCTGCGCGTCTTGCGCCGGGATCTTCGGACTGCGCAGTATGGTATATAACTGCACAGTTACTAGATAAGCAGTGTTCTTCTGCACAGTGTACAAATAAACGGTGCGCATTATTACGGTGTGTATGTTGAATAAATATTTGGTACACAGTCTTTCACTTCTGTTCTTTCTCTTTAATATTCAAAAAAAAGGTTACACTTGCATTACAATAAACAAAATGACTCTTAATTAGTAACTCGACGCTATCGTGAAAAAAACCCTTTTTCATCTTTCTTACTTGGAGAAAAGGTATGCTGTATAAGGAAAATTATTTCAGAGAGAGAACCGACACGGCAGAGACGCCTACCAAAAAAAAACTTATATCTGGAATAAGAAACATCCACCATCATCGGTGTCTCGCCTCTACTGGGTTATCCGCGTACTATGTTCTTCCGCGAACTTCAAATTTTACACCGCTTACGCGACGCAGCAAAAGACTGCATTTTGTAGTTTACTTTATCTTAACAGTGTAAGTGAACGGTGCGCATTATTACGGTGTCTAAGACTGTATACCGAGTTACGCATATGCGTGCATTTATCTATAATACATGTTACGTATAATCTAGATGAATGCGCGCATATGCGTAACTCGGAACGCAGCTTAAATGAACGATGCGCATTATTACGATGTCTAAGTGAATGATGCGCATTATTGCGGTATCTAAGTTAATGGTGCGCATTATTACGGTGTCTAAACGAACGGTGCGCGTTATTACGGTATCTAATTGAACTGTGCGCATCTTTCTGTGTCTAAATGAACGAAGCGCAATTGAACCGTGTCTAAATGAACGGTGCGCATTTCCTTCCGTGTCCAAATGCAACGTGTCTAATTGAACCGTGTTCAAAATTCTGTGTCTATTTGCACCGTGTCTAATTGCAACGTATCTAATTGAACTGTGTCCAAGTGCAGCACACCCTAAAGTGAGACGGACTACTTCCGCTGTTTGTCGCGTAACCGGTCTTTTGTCGTACAGATCGAGTCGGCCAGCACCGAAAGCACAGAAGTGGTGGAGATACGCACACAAGCGAGAACTGCCTTTCTTATGTGCTCGTGGAAAAGTGCAGACATACTATGTTCCGTCTTCTTTCCACTAAGTCGAGCTATAAGGCAATACACGAGGCACGTTGCACGCTTGTTGCGTACGACAACGTGAAATGCTTTTTCAAGATTTACAGTCTTGAAAAAAGTACACAATATTAGTAATAATAAAAAAACCATCTCATTATGCATTACATATTTTTACTAATTATGAGTTAACTGTGATACTTTAAAAGTTTGTAGAATATTGAGAAACATTGAATATATGGATAAAGTACAGTCAAACATCGATAACTCGAACCTTTACAGAACGAAAATTTTGTTCATTCCCTTGCGTTTCGCGAAAAAGAAAAACGGACTTCGATAAATCGAAACCTCTACAACGCGACGATTTTAGCTCTTCCCTTGAGATGCAAATTATCCAGGTTCGACTGTATATTATTAATTAGTAATAAACTGAGAATCATCTCGAGTTCTAACAAGGGTAGGTCGCGACGTTGTACCAATCGATTTAGACGAAATTTATAGGATCGATAAATGACTATATGGAGTATTGCAGAGTAAAGTAGACTCACTACTCAAGCATTCGCAAGAAAATCGAATTTGAAAATTTCGAGTTATTTTATAAGGATGTTAAATAGATTGTTAAATCGAAGAGCGCGTAGCTTAGCAGTAGCGTACTAGGTTAGTAGTGTCGACACTTTTTTGAAGAACAAAAAAGTATATCGGGATTCGAGTCCCGATATACTTCTTTGTTCTTCAAAATTCTACAATATAATCTAAATGTAAGTAATTTGTTTATTTTAAATGTAAGTAACGTTTTTTTTATTTATTGCATGATATAAAAGTGCATTGTTTTGTATAAAAACTCTGTGATTCAATAAATATGGTTTTAAAAATAAATAGATTAATACTAATTACTAATTGTGTTCATAAAAAGCGGATAAATAATTGTACGCAACATGTAAAAATATATACAACATGTTTTAAAGCACACACATTTCTTTGTGATGTTTATTGAACGTTATATCTTTGAAAGATAGGAGACATTATTTGAAAAATAATGACCCTTGAAAAATAGAAAACGGAGAATATAAATAAGATAACAGAGATAGTAAATGAAGGGACATTTCCGTTACGTTATGAGAAACAAGATTTAATTCACGTGGCTGCTAACAGCGAGAGTAGACAGAAAAGAAGAAAAGTGTGCAGTGCTAATTAAATTGGAAGATATCACCATAAAGAAAAATGGAAAGTGTATCTAGTTCTTCATCGAATGAATGTGATAGTACATCAGTTCACAGTGACGAGTCGAAATTACTGCTAAAAGATGCCATTGTTTATCTGGAACAATTACTTTTGGAAAATGATCTCGTAGCCCATGAATCATCTGGGACAATTTCTCACAAGGCAATGCAAATTGGCAAAGAAATGTATGCATCTATTGTTGAAATGTTAGACAGCAAATGTTTTGTGGATACAGGAGAATTAATTATGACAGAATTTGATAACAAAGGTCAATTTGACGAAGTACAAGAAGATAATTATTCCGATAAATATATGTTAAAAAAAGAAACAAAAGTAACAGACTACATTTCTTTAGAATATAAAATCAGGATTTTTAATATGGCAAAAGAGCATCCACATTGGAATCTCAAAACTTTACAGAGAAAAGAAGGGTCACGTTTAAAAAACAAAATATTTATTTCAATGGGAAAAAGATATCAAACATGGAGGAACAAATAGTGACAAATATGCAATTATTAACTCATGGACATATGATCGTTTTGTAGAAGCTAGAAATAATTACCAACAAATAATAACAAGAAGTTTGCAACAATGGGCGCTGAGCGCTGCAAGTCAATTTGAAAACTTTCCTTTTAAGGCATCAAGAACGTGAGTCATAAAATTTAAAAAACACAGAATCAAACAACGAAAATTTACAAAATGTATCCGCAAAAGAAGCTGCCACGATAAACGAGATATTAGCTGCAGCAAACATCTTCCGAAAACAAACAATGATATTAATTCCTAATGTTCACAAGGATTTGATCATCAACATGGACCAAAAAGACTGGTAAATAATAATTTCTTTACAAAATGACTGTCTTATTTATCAATAACATAAAATACAACATATCTTTATAATTGATAATATATTTAAATTATTTGATAAATATGATTGTATGTTTCAGGATATCAATATCAATCGACATATGATAGAACTCTGGCAACACAAGGAACAAAAGCAGTTTCTATACAACAAAAAAATTTGAATAAAATCAGCCATTCGTACACAGCATAATATGGGATTACCATGTCCGGAAAAGTAATACCGCGCGTATTCTTATGTTTACAAGAAGCAACAGGAGTGTTCGGTCCAAAAGTACAAGCTATCGATAAATTTTCTACTATACAGGGTGTCCCAGAATTGGTGTAACATCTCTCGTAAACAAATAGAAAAAGTAAAACTGCGTCAAAAAGTTTTATACCATTTTGCTAGATTCGCGATAGTTACCGAGATCTTAATTATCAAAGATCAGCGAATAAGCATGCATCGGGCTGTCTTACTCGCTTAAGATAGCCCAGTGCGCTTCGCGCGCTTACGGTGTTATCTGTAGGAGCATATGGGAGGAGCTAATATAACAGCATATACTGTAACATATATATATTAAAATGTAATTGTGCAAAGCGCCGGGCTGTCCTACGCGCGTAAGACAGCCCGATGCACGCTTATTTGCGGATCTTTGTTAATTAAGATTTCGGTAACTATTGCGAATCTAGCAAAATAGTATAGGACTTATCGACTCAGTTTTATTTCTTCTACCTGTCCACGAGAGATGTTACACCAATTCTGGGACACCCTGTATATACAAATGTCGTGGTAACATTCTCAAAGTCCGGAAAACTCACAACAAATCTGTATACACATCTGTATACACAGTATTTAAAAGAAATATTATTATCATATGTAAACAAAGAAAAATTTCTTTTAATAATAGATTCGTGATCCGGTCAAACTAATCCTACATTGTATGACGAAATTTTTCTTGATGATGACAATGCAGGAACATGTACTATTAAAGGTGTTCCTCCAAAGTGCACACCTTTATGTCAATCATGTGACGTTTTTATAGACAAGTCAAAACTTTTATTAAGCGTTTGCAGAAGTGTTCAACTTTAATAGAACAAAACCGCAAAATACCAGCTTGTGAAGATTGCATAAAAATTCATTCAATCATACATCATCAATTGTCCGCTCCGAGTTTTCGAAATATAGTAAAATATGCATAGTATGCTTCCAAATTAACAAACGAGAGAGAGATATTTTTGAATGTTCACGAAGTATGGTTTTCAATAGATATTTTAAAGAAATCATGTGAATGTAAAACTGCAATGTTCATGCAATGTGCACACTATCATAAAAATTGTTTTACTTGTTTTTATGATAAATATCATCTTGCATTATTGTCCCATCTAGTTTTAATAAATAAAACATGTTGTGTATATTTTTACATTTTGCGTATAATTATTTATCCGCTTTTTATTGTAAAGACGAGCGATGCGAAATTTAAGTTGAGATTTTATATATGTATTTATTATTACGTTCTCGGATGTAACAGCTGATACTTTCACAGCAAATTTGTATGTTTGCGTATCTGTTGAGGTGACAGGTGTTTTTTGTTCTCACCTCTGCGATATTGTTGACGACTCAACGGACAAATTTAAAGATAGGAAAACCGAGTCGACGAAAAGACACAAAGCCGAGAGGACAAACACAAGGTCCGTAGCCGTCGATAAGAGTAGACGTAAGATATCGTAGCGCGAAAATTGCGAAGAAGTTCCGTTGACTGTACTCTCTCTTATTTCTATTATAATAAAATTAATTGATTATTACTTTTACGCAAAATAAAGTCTTTAACAATTAATTACAAATTCCTACATTATGAACACAATTAGTAATTAGTATTAATCTATTTATTTTTAAAACCATATTTATTGAATCACAGAGTTTTTATGCAAAACAATGCACTTTTATACCATGCAATAAATAAAAAAAACGTTACTTATATTTAGAATAAACAAATTACTTACATTTAGATTATATTGTAGAATTTTGAAAAAAAAAAGTATATCGAGACTCGAACCAGCAGTGTCGACACTACTAACGCTACCGCTAAGCTACGCGCTCTTCGATTTAACGATCTATTTAACATCCTTATAAAGTAACTCGAAATTTTCAAATTCGATTTTCTCGCGATTGCTTGAGTAGTGCGTCTTATTACTTTACTCTGCAATACTCCACTAATCATCTATCGATCCTATAAATTTTGTCCAAATTGATTGGTACAACGTCGCGACCGTTCCTTGTACGTTTTTAAACTAATCAATGAATATAATTGGTTTTGAAGCGCCGTTTGCTGGATGTTGTGAGGAGAATATGTCTATATATATATATATATATACATATGTGTGCACATATAAACAAATTCACATTTTTATGTGTGTTTTTGAATTGTAATTTCAATTTTTTTGAATCATATAGGATGCTAGATTTGCATCTCGGATATAAAGAACCCCGGATACCCCCCTTTCAAAATAATTTAAAATATTGCAAAAAAACTCCTCAGCCAGTAGTCGAACCTGGAGTCTCCGGCTTTCCGGGCCGTCGCCTTCCCTGTTAGGCCACCGAGGCACTTAAAGTTTGTCTCGCAATATTCTGTACATCTATTGAAGATGTTCTGATACTGTAATACCGCTTTTTCGACAGCGTGAATTTAACAATTAGTAATAAACGATTAGTAATAAACTGAGAATCATCCCGGGCTATAAGTTTTTAAACTAATTAATGAATATAATTGGTCTTGAAGCGCCGTTTGCTGGATGTTGTGAGGAGAATATGTCTATATATATACATATGTGTGCACATATAAACGAATTCACATTTTCATGTGAGTTTTTGAATTGTAATTTCAATTCTTTTAAATCATATAAGATGCTAGATTTGCATCTCGTATATGAAGGACCCCAATTACCCCTTCCCCCCAAATTAATTTAAAATATTGCTAAAAAAGGCTGAGGAGTATTTCAAAGAATTGAAATTACAATTCAAAAACTCACATGAAAATGTGAAATCGTTTATATGTGTACACATATGTATATATGTATATATAGACATA